AGCTTGATGAAAGCTTGATGAAAGCTTGATGAAAGCTTGATGAAAGCTTGATGAAAGCTCTGCAAAATAGTTCACAGTGTTTAAAAAACAATAAAAATAAAAAAAAAATCGAATAAAAACATCCTAAAACATTTGAAAACGAAGCGGATAATATTTAGTGTATAAGTTATTATTAATTTGAAATTTAAATTCATCATGTAAAAAATTGTATTGTATATATTTTTTTAATAGCTATTTTGACAAAAATTAATACTTAGTTTATAATTATTAAATATCCCACGATAACAAGTTTCACGAAGTCCTCAGCCGACTTCTTCGGGAGTACCCTGGTGGCCTGTGGTATCACAGGCGCGGGTCGATTAAGGACTAGTACATGGAACTGACCATAAAAATAAGTGAGGAGCTGCACTACTGTGTTCGAGATAAAAGTGTAATGAAAAATGTTAGGCGGAATCTGCAACGGCTGGAGAAAGAGCTGTCTCAGAGGACACATTATTGCGCGTATTATAATATGTAGGGTTTTAATAATTTAGGCGGCCTTGAGCCAAGGTTAAGTATGAACAGTATATTCGTATTTGCAATTGCCTTCGACCGCAACAATTTTGGAACAAAGAACCAGTTTTAACAAACGCAAACAACAACTTTCAAACAACTTTAACAAACAAAAATTTGCACCAAATCTAAATTTACCGCTTTTGATGTGCGCAAGAACTCCGATATTTGCGTTCGACGGAAACGATATCGAAATTAATTGAGAACAAGGAATTCTTCGATGAATAAGTCGCGCTGAATGAAGAGAATTATGCTGGAGGTTTTTGACGGCCCGTCGTTATTAGCGCAGGCGGCGCAAATAAGAGAGACTCGGCCGCTTCTTGCTGAAACTCTCTTTCAGCAAACACCGCCAAACACCGAAGGAGATTGCGGAGAAGAATTACTTCGTGTTGTGCTCACTATTCACGATAGAATACTGCAGCTTGGTTTGTACGACGTCTTCACGAACTTGAAGACGTTGTATTCACGAAAAGGGGTCGAGCCGCGAAGGTGCGGCTACTGCAATGAGGACGGCACGGAGACCGAGGCGTACAAAAATTCCTCCTTGCTGAACGCTTACCTCCGCACATCACATAACGGTGGGTTAGAGGAGCTACTGGACGAAAATC